TCTGGCTTCCTGGCTTTTAATCCCCTTTCTCCTGCTCTTCTGCCCTGCTGTTTTGTGCATCCCTGAGTTGTCTCTGGGGCTGACTGCTCCTCTGTCTGGGTTCCTGGCTTTTATCCCCTTTCTTCTGCTCTCTGGTCCTGCTGCTTTGGGCGGGCCTGAGTTTCCCCTCCTCACCTAATCCCTTTAGCTGATTGCTCTTCTCTCTGGCTTCCTGGCTTTTAATTCCCTTTCTCCTGCTCTTCCGGCCTGCTGCTTTGGGCGTCCCTGAGTTTTCTCTCCTCACCTGTAACCCTGGGGCTTCCAGGAAACCAAAGTCTTTGGGTTCCAGGGGGAGTATGGTTGCAAAGGTGAAACTTAAAGGAATCAGAAAGATAGGCAACTGAATTATGAAGAGCTATAATCATAGCCCAAGACCAGTGGAAAGATTTTCAATGTGCTGAAAGAAAATAACTAACTGCTATCAAGAATTTTCTACCTAGAAAAAAAATCTCTAGAACGTAAGCAGAATAGACATTTTCAGGCAAGGTAAAATGGAAAAAGTTAGCCTCTATAGCCTCATGTGTTAAAAATTTAAAGGTGGTTCTTTAGGCAGACGGAAAACGATCCCAGAAGAAAGCACAAAGTGCAACAAGGAATGAAGCGGAAGGAGTGTATATCAATTTAAATGACTGTTTAAGCCAAAAAATTAGCTTTTAGAGTTTAAAATATTCAGGATTAAATAGGCAATATAGTGGGTTGAATGGTCACCCTCAAAAAGATATCTCTATGCCCTAATCCCCAGAACCTGTCAATGTGGCATTATTTGTAAAAAGGCTCTCTAGATCTTGTTAAGGGTCTTGAGATGGAGATCATGCTGAAATATCCAAAACCAAAACCAAACTCACTGCCATGAAGTCAGATCCAAGTCATAGCGACCCCTCCTTGGGTTTCTGAGGGGGTATCACTACAGAAGTAGTTTGTCCAACCTTCCTTCTAAGGAGTGGCTGGTGGGTTTGAACCACCAGCCTTCTGGTTAGCCGTCAAATGCCATAGGCACTATGCCACCAGAGCTCCCTGAATTATCCAAGCGGGTCTTAAATCTGATGAGAATTGTCCTTAGTCACAGAGAGGGGAGACTCACAGAAAAAAGAAGGAGGCAATATGACCATGGATACAGAGACTAGAGTGATACATCCACAAACCAAGGAACCCCTGGAGCCACCACAGACTGGAATAGGCAAGGAATAGATTGTCCTAACCTAGGGGCTTTGGAGAGATTACGGCACCACTGACACTTTGATTTCAGACTTTTGGCCTCCAACTGTGATAGAGTCAATTTCTACTATTTTAAGCCACCAAATCTGTGGTAATCTCTTATGGCAGCGATACAAAGCTAAAGCAGTAATAACAAATGTTTGGAAATTAAACAATGAAATAATCTATGAGTCAAAGAAGAAATTCCAAGGATAATTTGAAAATATCTTGAGCTGAGTGAGAATGAAGGTACAACAACAAAGAGCTAAAGTCAATAACCTAGCTTCTATCTGAAGAAGCTAGAAAAAGAAAGATTAGTGTTGGCCTAATAAACGTAAAGACAATGAATTAATAATTAAATATAATACAACAAAAAGCCAGACCTTGATGACTTCATTGTTGAATTCTATCAAATATTTAAAAGAAATAATACCAATCCTTAATAAAACTTTTTTAGAAAATAGAAGAAAAGGTAAAACTTCCCAACTCATCTGATTATAAAGCTGCTGTTGTTATGTGCCAAGGAGTTAATTGTGACTCATAGGTATTTGCAAGAACTATTGTTTTGGGTCCCTAAACAGCTGGTCTCCAGCTGGTACCATATCTGCCTGTGGGCACTATGCTCCTGTGTAAGAATACAGAAACTCCAGGGCTCCACTCAGCCAAGCAAGACCCTTTTGAACCAGGTGACTCTTCGCAATGGTCCTCAATGGGACACCTGAGGAACAATGTACAGTGAAGCTTTGGATGGCACAGCTCAACTGGAAGCTAGTAAATCCATTTTCAAGATGGCTCACTCTAATAGCTGGCATACTGGTTCTGGCTGTCAGCTGAGAGTTCACCTGGGCCCTCTGTGGGTTGCTTGGACTTCCTTACAGCTGGGTACCAAGAATAAGAGTCCTAGAAGAACAAGGCAGAGGTGAATAGCATAAGCTACTTAGCATCACTTCTACCATACTTTTGATTGAGACAATCACACAGGTCTACCTCAGTTTAAGGGGAAGGAACATAGACCCTACCACTCAGTGGGAGGAGTTTCAAGGTCACACTGTTAGAAGAGCTTGTGAGATGACAGATAATGTTTGAAACCATCTTTGGAAACAATCAGCCACACCCTGTTTGTACTGCTCTTCCTCCAAAAAATTACCAAACTCACTGCCCTCGAGTCAGATCCGACTCATAGTGACCTCTCCTTGGGTTTCTGAGGGGGTATCTCTACAGCAGTAAATTGCCCAGTCTTCCTTCTGAGGACTGGCTGGTGGGTTTGAACTTCTGGTTAGCAGTCAAATGCCTTAGGCACTACGCCACCAGATTTTCTACTTGGCTTGGTTATTTTCTCCAGCCCATACAGAAGGAAGATCTTCCTTTTACTTTCTTTTCTTCCCCTCACCACATGCTTGCTTGTTTGTTTTGTTTTTATCTCTCTCCTTCCTTCCCTCCTTTTTTTCTTTTCCGAAAAGAAACCTGCGTACTCAGCAAACTTCCAAATAATTGAATCTTTGAAAAAGGGGGCTTGATTCTGAATAAATGCAGACAAAATCAGATACTCAGAACTAGTAATCAGCCAGTGGTTGGCCATGTGGGTTCTGGGTCCCTTCTTGGGTTGGACAGGGTGCTCTGAAATAGTTACATAACTCCAGCTTCTTCTCCAGCAGGTAGAGAATCCAGTGAAGAAGCTTCTGAAGTCAGTGAAACACAAACTACAGATAGTGATGATGTCATAGTGATACCATTATCTCAAAAATATCTTAAGGCAGTAAGTAGCATATTGTAAACAATGACAATTAATGTGCTTAATAACCAACCTATGTGAAGTTCAAATCCAATTTTAATGAACCTGATGGGAAATTCAAATTATTTAGTTAAATTTACATTGAGTATGATTGGAAGTCTATTGATACCGTAGGATGAAAGGATCATTTTCTTCATCTGGTGTCAGTGAGGACTTACTCAGACTCTTCTTTCTGCCTATTTGGGTCCCTTGCCAACCTCCTCTGGTTTGCATGTCTTTCATTGTGTTCTGTGATTAATCCAAGCCCTTTACATACACCTGAGGAGAACAAGTTTATGGTGGGAGGTGGAGGATGGAAGAGAGAAAAGGATTCTACATGAGATGGTGCAAAGAGATCATTCAGTTTTGCTGTTTTTGATCAAACATTTAAAACTATAAAACTTTACATAAATTATGAAAACTTTACATAAATTATATTTCAATAAAATATATTTTAAAAAAGTGAATGTGGGGTGAGTGAATGTGGTGTGGAGTGAGAGTGGTGTGTGTATGGTACACAGAAGTCAGTGTAGGGTGAGTGTGTCATGGGGGATGAGTGTGAGGGGTCAGTTGTGATATGGGGATGAGTGTGTGTGTGTGTGTGTGTGTGAGTGTGGGGTCTGGGGTGAGTGAAGATTGGAGTGTATGAGTGTGGTGTGTGGGTGTGAATGTCTGTGAATGTGGGGATGGATGTAAGTGCGAATGTTGGAGAGGAAGGTGGTGTGTGGCTCTCTGGGCTTTGCTCCTTGGTAGTAGTGGCTGGTTCCTGGGGCCCCTCTCCCCATGGTGAGAGGACCCTTGACAGAAAAAAAAAAAAAAAAAATATATATATATATATATATATACATATATATGTATATATAACCTGTAATTGCAGTTGTTTGTGGCAGTTGGTTTCTTTTGATTCCAAAATCTCTTTTGGAACTAACTGAGGATGGATGGATGGATGGATAGATAGGATGGATAGATAGATAGATTAAATATAAATATGTTGTTGTTGTTATGTACCAACAAGTCATCTCCAACTCACAGCAACCTCTCCTTGGGCTTCCGAGGCAGTATCACTACGGAAGTAGATTGCCCCACCTTCCTTCCAAGGAGTGGCTGGTGGGCTTGAACCCCAACCTTCTGGTTAGCAGTCAAGTGCCTAAGGCACTACGCCACCAGAGCTCCCAAAAAAACTCGCTGCCATCAAGTTGATTCTGACTCATAATGACCCCCTTTGGGTTTCTGAGGCAATAAATCGTTATGGAAATATATTGCCCAGTCTTCCTTCTGTGGTAAATGTAGATATATATGAATAAATATCCACAGACTTATTCAACAATTTCCAACAGTTACTGGGGTTACAAATTAGGAAGAAAACATAATCATTTTTCTTGAGGCACTAGAATGCTACCTAGGTGCTCAAAAAATATTTGTTGAATGAGTGACTGAATGAAAGATTAAAAGAGAACTTGAAGATTATGAACCTCATTAGAAACAATAGAGAATAATCAAGATGACCTAAAATCAAGTAGCTAGATTATATGATATAAATTCTATGGTTTGTAAGGTTTGTTGCTTTTGTAGAAGTCAGAAAAATCTTCTTTGGAAGCCAGAATTTGTGCTGAAGATTTGCAGGAAAATAAAGGATATTGGGGAGAAACAACTTAAAGTAAGGAGAGTTAACATTTAATATGACAAATATTTAAGTCTATCTTCTTCTGGACTTTTTATCTATCTTATTTAATTTTTACATTAATTCTATAATTAACGTCTTGGCAAATATTTAGAAGGGAGTTTAGAATCACAGAATGTTAGAATTGGATAACATCTTAGCTGTTACGGTAAAGATGAAGATTAATGATGTGTCTAGGATTATAAGGCTAGTTAGTGACAGAGCTAAAACTCCAGTCAAGGTTTCTAAACCATACTGCTTCTCAGATCAGCCCCAAAAGCAACCAGTTTTTAATTATAATAAGTCAGATTACATTAAAAATATTACCCTAAATTAAAGGTTCCTAAATAAGATTTCCCTTTAAAAAACTTTGAGTATCCAAAAGTGTTAATTGAGAAATTAAATATGGAAACTGAGCCTACTTAAGGAAAAAAAAGTGTTATAAAATTAATCTTATACCACACACATACGTATGAAATCATTATTGTATTTCAAAATAGGTAGGCATAAAACACATAGGGAGTTGAAACCCAAAGACAACACTTGAGTTGTTGCCACTCTCCTGGTGGGGTTAGGAAGGATAATAAGGAGCCAGCAGAGTCCAGAGGGAACTGGAGAGATTGGATTTAGACTGTGGTTTAGACCCTGGTTCAGCTATCTATGCCACTCTGGGGAAGTTGTCTAACCTCTTAGGTTTCTTCTTCTGAAAATGGTACTATTGATTATACTTACATTTTAGAGTTGTGCAAGATTTAAATAAGGTAATTGTGGTGGTAATGTGGGAGCTCTGGTGGCGTAGTGCCTAAGGCATTTGACTGCTAATGAGAAGGCTGGCTGTTCAAACCCACCAGCCACTCCTTGGAAGGAAGATAAGGTGATCTACTTCTGTAGTGATACCACCTCAGAAACCCAAGGAGGGGTGGGTCGCTATGAGTTGGATCCGACTCAAGGGCAATGAGTTTAGCTTAGTTTTGGTCCTTCTTCTGAACGGCTGTTGGATTTGAACCGCCAACCTTCTGGTTAGCAGTCAAATGCCTTAGGCACTACACTATCCATGCTCCAGCAGTAGTGTTTATCAAGGCTTATTCTCTTTTCTTACACTCTTAATTCTAAGTATTCAGGATGTCCTAACCCCTTGTTTCTGCTAGTTAATCATTTTAACAACCCCAGCCAAATTAGCTAGGACACCTGAATTAATAAAGCAATGGGAACTGTCTAGCACTAATCCTGAGGAATGACCTGCTCTCAGGGGCTCTGCCAGCAAGTTCAGATGAGTTAATATGTATTAGAGAGGATTATATTACTAATTATGTATTCCTTTTGATGTTCAGCTCCAATAAAATTCTGTAATAGAGTGAATTCACAAAAGGATTCTGGATTAAAGGAAAATATAAGATTGAAGCATATAAAATTGCCATTTTTATACATTAAAAATGGTTGACTACTATCAATTAGATGTTATTCAACTTACTGGGAATGAATAAAGCCTCCATGTGCACCTAGCTCAAATTTGAATCTTATTTATCAAGAATGTTGTTGTTGTTGTTATATGCCATTGAGTCAGCCCCAACTCATAGCGACACCTCCTTGGGTTTCCGAGGCAGCATCACTACTGAAGTAGATTGCCCCATCTTCCTTCCGAGGAGTGGCTGGTGGGTTTGCACCGCCAGCCTTCTGCTTAGCAGTCAAGTGCCTTAGCCACCATGCTGCCAGAAATCCCTTATCAAGAACGGTTACTCCTAATGAACCTGTATTGTCAGAAGAACATTGATATAGTTGGCATAATTATGGATTCCTGGTATTTGGCCCAGGATTATTAGCATGTTTAATATTTCAAAAAGTTACACAAATCAGATGGGAATACATTTTTCTGTAAAACATTAAAATATAACAGATAAAGCTAATTCTCCTTTGACCACCCCCCACAATCTCTGCTTCCTCTTCTCCAAGAAAAGCATTGTTTTAAATTTTGGAATATGTCCTTTCAAACTTTTTTTTAAACAACTTTAGCATTCTTATTTAATATTGGTTTTTGTTTTGCCTTCAAATAAGTGTCATTAAATGGTACATACTCTATTCTGTTCTGTTCTTTTCTCTCATTTAAAAGAAATGGTAGTGAAACCTACTGAACTGATCCATCAAAGTGTCAAAGCCTGAATTTTACACTATAATGAGTCGATAGTGTGTACAGTGGGTGTCGTGGAAGGGTTTCAAGGGGCCACTGAGAAGAAAACTCCATGTAGTTTCATCTTCTTTTCAAAAGGCACCCCCAGATGATTCTGATGCAGTTGACCCACAGGACTATACTTTGAGAAATCTTGCCTGCTAAACTTCCTAGGAGGAGGCATAGAAGCTCCACTTGCTTCCTAAGGGAAGAAGAGATTGGGAGCAAAGGGCAGGCCTTAAGATGAGTAGTACATATTGGCCTGGCACCCTAAAGGAAAGAAACAGCCAGGCAGGAAAACTATAGCTGGCGGGGGGCATCCTGGGTTGTGTCATTCTGCCCCATTATGGAAGGAAGGGGTCATTTGACTTCTTGAAATTAGTCAGCCATCTCCTGGTGTCCCTAATGCCAAAGTGGACACCAAACCAAACTCACTGCCATCAACTCAATTCCAACTTATAGCGACCCCGTTGGGATTTTTGAGGCGGTAAATCTTTACGGAAGTAGATTGTCCAGTCTTCCTTCTGCAGAGTGGCTGGTGGGTTTGAACCACCAATGTTGGTTAGCAGTCAAATGCCTTAGGCGCTACGCCACCAGAGCTCCCTAATGTGGACATAGGGACGGTCAAAAGAGAGGGTAGTGGTGGTGGCAGCTGCTTTGAAGTGGAGATAAAGTACCGGAGTTGCTGTAGAGGGTGAGGTACTCTGATGGCCCGCACTTAGGTTGGCTCAGGAAACAGTTATTTGGTGCAGTGGCTGCATGAAAAACCCCACTGCTGTCGAGTAGATTCTGACTTATAGCTACCCTATAGGACAGGGTAGAATTGCTCTATAGTGTTCCCAAGGCTCTAAATCTTTATGGAAGCAGACTGCCACATCTTTCTCCTGTGGAGTGGCTGGTGGCTTCAAACTGCCGACCTTTTGGTTTAAGCCAAATGCTTAACCATTGTGCCACCAGGGCTCACTTAGAGTGGCAGAAGCAGCTACTAAATTTCCAATATTAACCTGTAGGTCCTATAAGTCCTAACCTTGGGAAAATGCTGGTTAGTTTTCATCTAGAAAGTTTTAAGATGTCTGTTCAGAAATTTTCTTGATTGTTTTATATGTGGAATTGGCTGGGAAAAGCTCAGATGGAATGATTCGCTGGATTGGAAGATAGAACAATGGATTCTTTTTACAAATTTTCCCCAGATTAGCTATAGTAATTCAGTCAAGTTGCCTGTTGTTGCCAGTTTTACCTATAATTGATTGTCAAGTAGTAGTATGTTAGATAGGAGCTCTGGTAGCATAGTACCTAAGGCATTTGACAGCTAACCAGAAGGCTGGTGGTTCAAACACACCAGCCACTCCTCGGAAGGAAGGTTGGGCAATCTACTTCCATAGTGATACTGCCTTGGAAACCCAAGGAGGGGTCGCTATGAGTCGGGTCTGACTCGACGGCACACAACAACAACAACAGTGTGTTAGATAACAGGTGACTATGCCTTCTAGACGATAGTGCATTAATTAGATGGAATACAACACTTGGAGCATTACTAACCTTTAGGACATAAATAAATATTTTCCTTATTAGGCTTCAGAGAAGATGTGCATTGAAATTGTCTCCCTGGCCTTCTACCCAGAGGCTGAAGTGATGTCTGATGAAAACGTAAAACAAGTGTATGTTGAGTACAGATTCTACGATCTGCCCTTGGCAGAGACAGAGACTCCAATATCCCTGAGGAAGCCGAGAGCAGGCGAAGAGATTTACTTCCACTTTAGCAAGGGTAAGGCACTGTGTGTGGTTATAGGGAGAGGAGGCTGACAAATGCTTAGTCCAGAACTACCACTGGATTTCTTAATGGCATGATTCAATTATTTTGTTTCATTTATTAAATACCATTTATATGCATATGGCTTTTAAAAAATCAAATAGTCCCAAAAGATGTTAGTTAGAAATAATCAGCCCTTTGCCCCACTCTTCTCTACAAACTATGCCCCACCATAGTGCACCACAGCCATTTTTAACTTTTTTGGCTATTCCTTCTGGTATTTACCTCCATATTTTTAACTAATGTTTCTGTTGCAATTTCCTAATTCATCAAATTTAGACATTGTCCACTGTTCCTATTTTGGAACATAAATTTAGCTTTCTTTCACCATACCCATGCTCCCCCCATATTTTGATCATAAATTTTATTTAATCCAATTTTAATTATTTATCATGAATATATAAATATTATTTCTTAGAGAGCCAAGTAGTATGACCTTGATTATACTTTTTCTTGTTTATTATTTTGTTTGCCTCTATTTTTCATTTGCTCTATTTTCATTATTTCGTTGTTGTTAGGTGCCACTGAGTCAACTCTGACTTAAAGAAACACCAGTGTAAGAGAAGGAATCACTGCCCGATCCTGTGCCGTGCTCATGATTGTTTCTGCATTTGAGCCCATTGTTGCAGCCAATAGTCAATCTCTCTCACGGAGGGTCTTCTTCATGTTTGCTGACCCTCTTCTTTATCAAGCATGATGTCTTTCTTCAGGGACTGATCCCTCCTGATGTTGTTGTTGTTGTTATGTGCTGTCGAGTTGGCCCCGACTCATAGCAACCCCTCCTTGGGTTTCCAAGGCAGTATCACTACCGAAGTAGGATTGCCCAACCTTCCTTCCGAGGAGTGGCTGGTGGGTTTGAACCGCCAGCCTTCTGGTTAGCAGTCAAGTGCTTTAGCCACTATGCTACCAGAGTATGTCCAAAGTATGTGAGACAAGTCTTGCGATCCTCACTTCCAAGTAGCATTCTGGGTGTACTTGTTCTAAGACGGATTTGTTTATTCTTCTGGTAGTGCATGGTATATTCAATATTCTTCACTAATACCATAATTCAAAAGCAGTCTTCCTTCTTCATTGCCCAGCTTCACATGTATATCAGGCAACTGAAAATACCTCGGCTTAGCTCAGGTTCTTTAGTCCTCAAAGTGACATCCTTACTTTTTAACACTTTAAAGAGGTCTTTTGGAACAGATTTTCCCCAAGCAATATGTTGTTTGATTTCTTTTCTTTTTTTCCCCCTGTCTTTATCTTTATTCGTTGTTTGATTTCTTGACTGCTGCTTCCATTGTCATTGATTGTGGATCCTAATAAAATTAATCCTTCACAATTTCAATCTTGTTTCCATGATCATGATGTTGCTTATTGATCCAGTTGTGAGGATTTTTGTTTTCTTTATGTTGAGCTGTAATCCATATTGAAGGTTATAGTCTTTGATCTTCATCAGTAAATGCTTCAAGTCTTCTTAACTTTCAGCAAGCAAAGTTGTGTCATCTGCATTTCACAGGTTGCTCATGAGTCTTCCTCCAATCCTGATGCCTCGTTCTTCTTCATATAGTCCAGCTTCTCAGATTATTTGCTCAACACACACGTTAAGTATGGTGAAAGGATACAACACTGAAACACACTTTTCCTGGTTTTAAACCACACAGTATCGCCTTGTTCTGTTCGGACGACTGCCTCTTGGTCTATGTATAGCTTCCTCGTGAGCACAATTAAAAATTCTAGAATTCCCTTTCTTTATAACGTTATCCATAACTTGTTATGATCCACACGATCCACACAGTTGAATGCCTTTGCATAGTCTATAAAACACAAGTAAACATCTTTCTTGTATTCTTTGTTTTCAGCCATGATCTATTTGACATCAGCATTGATAATCTCTCCTTCTAAGTCCTCTTCTGAATCTGACTCGAATATCTGACAATTCTTTATCAACATACTGCTGCAACTGTTTTTGATAACTCTTTTCACATCTTCTAACAATCTCAAGTAATCAAACCTATTAAATAATTTATGGATATGTTTTGTTTTTTCCTGGAGGAACTCCCTCCATCCTCTTGTTTCTCTTAGGCCTTTGTTTAGCTCCCATCGCTGCCATCCCAAGCATTTTATTTAATTCTCTGCTGTACTGTCTTTCCTGTCTCCTAGATCCTGCATCATGCTCTGTCTTTATTAATTTCCTTATTTTATTGGATCGTATTTTCTAGTAACTTTTTAAGAAAAGGTACCTTGGAAGTCTTACTATACTGGCATTGCATTCAATTGACATTTTGACCAAAGAGAAATCTAGGTTGAAAACATTTTCACTCATAACTTCAAAGCAATTGGTCCTTGGTTTCCTAAATCCACGTGAGACATCAAACCTTTTGTGTGAAAACTAGCATGCCCTTCCTACCCTTGATTCCTAGATTAGATTTCCTCTTTATTTCTAGTTCTCTAATTTCAGGATAATGTACGTATTTTCACTTTAAGTGTTCTGGCCACTCCATGGGCTTTTTCAGTCTGCAAGCCCATGACTTTTTTTTTTAATTTTGATTTGGGTGAAGATTTACAGAGCAAATTCACTTCCCATACAGCAGTTCACATATACTTTGTCTCATGTCATTGACCACAGTTTACCACAATGCAACAGCTCCCCTCCCACTTCCTCCCCATAGTTACTTCTTCCCAGTGTCCATCCCTCCATACTCTCCTGCCCCCTGAGCTGTCTCCCTGTGCATAAGCAGCCCTTCCTTCTCCCATGATTGTTCTCTCCAGGGCGTGTGTCTACTTGAGGTAAATGTTTAACTCACATGTCTGTACATTGTTTGGCTGGAAACCACAGGTGTGGGTTCAATTCCAGACCTGAAGGGTAGCTAGGGGCCATAGTCTCAGTGGTTCCACCAGGCTCTGTTGGACCAGCAAACCTGGTCCCCACCTTTTTTTTTTTTCCTCCAAATGATTTTGAGTTTTGTTCCACATTGTTCTCCCTCTCTATCCAGGATCTCCTACATCCCTTCCAAGTGGATGACAGTGGTAGCTGAAGCCCATGACTTTTAGTTGTGGAAAATTCTATTGTATTTCTTTGATAATTTTATCCCTAGTAGTAGAATGTTGGGTCTTCCAAATTGATCCTCTGTTTATCATTTTCATCCTATAATTCCATCTGTCTTTTTTCTTTTTGAGATATTTCCTTAAGTTTATCTTCTGGTCATCTATTAAATATTTAAGTTCTAATAACTCTTTTTTGTTCTCAATTTCTTTCTTTTTTTATTGTATCTCATTTTAATATATTCTATCAAGAAGATAGAAATTTACTTCTCACTTACGGTAAACAAGTTCAGAGGAGGGAGTCCAGGGCTGGCATGGCAGCTACATGACATCATCAGGGATCCCACCTTCTCTCTTTCCTTTCTGTCACCTTGCTGTTGGTCGCTGTTGAGTTGATTCTGACTCATGGTGATCCCCTGTGTGCAAAGTAGAAGTGCACTCCATAGGCTTTTCAGACTGTCACCTTTTGGAAGCAGATTGCAAAGCCATACTTCTGAGATGTATGTGGGTAGGTTTGAACTGCCAACATTTTGCTCAGCAGTCCAGCTCTTAACCACATGCACCACCGAGGGACTCCTATTATCTTAGCACCTGCCTTCCACCCTTCTTGTTACCTCCCTCTTTTTGGTTACCCCATGATCCTTGATGGCTGCTGGGGAAAGGAAGACTACCTCCCAGATAAGCCTTTTAAGCAATTTTCCCTGAGGTGTCACACAATACAATGGCCAGAACTTAATCACTTGGCCATAGCTAGCTAAAAAGGAAGCTGGGAAACCTAGGCTAATTTATTTGAACTTCAACATTCCCATATAAAAATAAGGAAAATGGATGGTGAGATAAGCATCTTGAACTTGCCACAAACCCAAATCTCCAGATGACCCAAAAGTCAGCTTCCTAGAACTCTTTCGGCTGTGGAATCATGAGAACACATTTATTTTGGCATATAATAAAACAGCTTTCCATGCTGATTATGAAAGGCAACACACTTTTTCTTAAAAGGCCAGATAGTACATGTTGTTGTGGTTGTTGTTACGTGCTGTCAAGTCGGACCCGATTCATAGTGACCCCTCCTAGAGCTTCCAAGGTGGTATCACTATGGAAATAGATTGCCCAATCTTCCTTCCGAGGAGTGGCTGGTGGGTTTGAACCGCCAGCCTTCTGGTTAGCAGTCAAGTGCTTTAGGCACTATGCTACCAGATAGTACATATTTTAAGCTTTCTGGGCCATGTAGTCTCTGTCACAACCACAGAACTTTGCCACTGTTGCTCAAAAGCACCCATCAGACCAAAACCAAACTCACTGCCATCGAGTCAAACATATAGAGACCCCCATTGGGTTTCCAAAGCTGTAAATCTTTACGGAAAGAGACTGCCTCATCTTCTTCTGCAGAGCAGCTGGTGGGTGTGAATGACCAACCTCTTAGTTAGCAGCCAAATGTGTTAACTACTGTACCACCAGAGTTCCTTTCAAAAGCAGCCATGCACAATACATAAATGGGTGTGGCTGTGTTCCAATAAAAGTTTATTTACAAAAATGAGAGGCTAGTCCTTGGGTCACAGTTTGCCAGCTTTTGCTTTATATTACTGTATTTACTGCTTATGGAAGTCTTCGTGTCCAAAAGCAACTGTGTATGGCTCTGCCTTTTGTTTCCTTTTCTTAACATAGTGATAGACCTGGACCCGATGAAGCAAAAAGGTCGAAGGCAATTTCTTTACACCATGTTGAATGGACAAGATCCTGAGCAAGGACAGTAAGTACCTGCTTATCTGCTTTGAAAGAAAAGAGAAACTTAGACAGGAATTCTGTAGTTTGAGTTTGGTTTTGTGCTAATGCTGAGTATTTGAATAACTTCTTTCAGAAGTAATTTACCCTTAATAAATTTCCCATCTACTTCAGTCGAATTTATGTTTGTGGCTACTTGGTCAATTATTATAATTTCATAGGTTTATAGGTTTACTTCAATTCTCATCAATGTTAGCCCCAGTGGGGACTTTTTCTGTGTGTGGCAGTGATTTAATTAAATATAAAGTGTTCTATATATATACTGAATGGACAAAAGGTTTTGACATTCTAACATAATTTGATTTGTTTCTTATGCATACAATGCTATTGCTAGCTAACCAAATATTATATCTTTATAATATTAATTTTATATTTAGATTTTTAATTATTTTCTTTACTGGAATGTTTTGACTTTGGCATACCTAAAATAAATTCTAGGACTGCTTTAAAATTTTAGGAATGTCAGTTGTTCTTATTATTCCTGTAATCAGAGAGGGCTTCCTTTTAGTTTCCAGGTAAAATACATATGATATATTTATAATAAAAAAAATTATATCCAAACTTAACTGAGCATCCTATTTTTGTTTTATTTTGCTCATTCTAGCCCCTTTGTGTGTGCGTGCGTAAGAAATGGGGCCTTATGTTTTAATTCATTACTTTTTTAAAGGCCCAATAAATTTGTTTAATCTACACTTACTTTAGGGAGCTCTGGTGGCATAGTGCCTAAGGCCATTTGACTGCTAACCAGAAGGTGGGTGGTTTAAACCCACCAGTCACTCCTTCTTGGAAAGAAGGTTGGGCAATCTACCTCTGTAGTGATACTGCCTTGGAAACCAAAGGAGAGGTCACTATGAGTTGGCAGTGAGTTGCATTGAGTTACATTTACTTTGTCTCCAGTTAGTTTTAGGAAGGACTGAAAAAAGGAGCCAGTAGAAATAAACAGTGAATCTGAGTTCTGTATCACAGTGGACTAACCTCCCTGATAACTTTGGAAATGCAAAGTGGTTTGTTTTCTCCCCTTTTGTACAATTGTTAAATTTAGCTTCCCCATCCTAACCCCAACCCTAAGCATTCCTAGAACTCTTCCTTTATTCCCTCACAAACCAAACCAAACCATACTCACTGCCATCAGGTCGATTCCAACTCGTAGCGACCCCCTTTGGGTTTCTGAGGCAGGAAATCTAGACTGCCCGGTCTGCCTTCCGTGGAGTGGGTGGTGGGTTTGAACCACCAACCTTCTGGTTAGCAGTCAAATGCTTAAGGTACTATGCTGTTCCCTCATAGGGCTATCCATTTTCTACTCAGTTTTAGCTTTCACTGCCTCAGGTTTGAATTGCCTTTGCCTTTGATTTTCTTTTTGGCTAGTATGGTATAGCGGACAGAACTTTGTAATAAACCTTAGATAGGGCAAAAACAAAACAAAGACAATTATCCAGGATGAAGGAAACCATCAGCATGTACACAGTACAGAAAGCTGAATGGAGTCCACTGAGTCTATGCCATGGGGCTAATTATATATGATTGATAACAAAAGGAGTATCACAAAATCCTAATTGGTGGCAGATCGATTCATCACTGTTGCCTGTTGCTGGCAGGACTACAGAAGCAGGGAAAGGGCAGTGATTGGGATAAGTACATAAATAAAGGAGCTCTTGTGGTGTAGTACCTAAGGCGTTTTGACTGCTAACCAGAAGGTTGGCAGTTCAAACCCACCAGCCACTCCTAGGAAGGAAGATTGGGCAATCTACTTCTGTAGTGATACCTCTTCAGAAATGCAAGGAGCGGTCGCTGTGAGTCGGATGTGACTTGACGGCAGTTAGTTTGGTTTTGGTTTTTTTGAAGGCTTAATGAAAGTGTCTCTACTGAGCCTGTTTGAATCTGGGGTCTCTTTTCCCCTATTACACAAGGATTTTATTGTACTTGGATCCACAGTCAATGCCCATAGAAATCAAATGATGACCTATTGCATTGCATTGGGCAAATCTGCTGCAAAAGACCTCTGTATAGTGTTAAAGAGAAAAGATGCCACTTTGAAGACTAAGGTTTGCCTGACCTAAGCCACGGTATTTTCCATAGCCTCATAAGCATGTGAGTGCTGGACAATTCATAAAGAAGACCACAGAAGAATCGATGCATTTGAATTGTGGTATTGGTGAAGAATATTGAATGTATCATGGACTACTAGAAGAATGAACAAATCTGTCTTGGAGGAAGTACAGCCAGATATTCCTCAGAAGCAAGAAGGGCTAGATTTCCTCTCTCATTTGGTCATGTTTTCAGAAGGCACCAATCCCTGGAGAAAGATATCATGCTTAAACTGAAAAAGGGGAAGACCCTCAATGAAATGGACTGACACAGTGGCTGCAGTGATGGGTTCAAGTACAGCAAAGATTGTGAGGCTGGTGCAGGACTGGGCAGTGTTTCGTTCTGTTACTGTACCCAAAGTCACTGGGAGTCGGAATCAACTCGATAGCACTTAACAACAACGATCTCTGCTTTTACAAAATTAATAGCAATGTGAAATTGCCCAGAATAGGCAAATCCCTAAAGACAGAAAGTAGATCAGTGGTTGCCATGGGCTTGAAGGGAGAGGAGAGTGAATGTTAATGGTATGGAGTTTTTTTCTTTTTTTTTAACTGTGATTTGGAAGAAAGTTTACAGAGGAAATTCGTTTTCTATTCAACAATTTATACACATTTTATTTGGTAACGTTAGTTGCAATTCCCTTAATATAACAGCACCCTTCCCCTCTTCCCCTCTTCCCCCTCGCTTCCCCATCTCCATTGTTCTCCTTTCCTGCACCTTCCTGCAGTCTGAACTTTGTTTTGGGCAAATGCTGCCCTTTTGGTCTGGTCTGGTTAATTGTTCTGTGGACTACGTTCCTCTAGTGTTACTGCTCACTTCATCAGTCTGCTGTTTGTCTGAAAGGTGATCCCTGGGGGTGGGTTCAGATCCAGATTTGAAGGGTGTCTAAGGGCCACAGTCTCAGGGTTTCCACCAGTTTACTGTCAGACCAGTAAATCTTGTCATATTTTATGAATTTGAATTTTGTTCTCCATTTTTCTCCCATTCTGTCCAGGACCTTTTGTGGTCTTGATCAGAGTGATCAGTCACGGTAGCTGGTTCTTCTGGTCTCCGTGTAGCAGAGGCTGTGCTTTGCGTGGCCGACTAGTCCTTTGGACTAATTGTTTCCTTGAGTCTTTGATTTTCTTTTCTCTGGACAAGGAGAGACCAATAGTTGCACATGGAGTTTCTTTTGAGTTGATGAAAATGTTCTGGAATTAGACAGTGGAGACTGTTGCAAAACGTTGTGAACATTTGTTTAATCTATATTTACTTTGTACACTTTAAAATGGTAAATTTACTGCAGAACTTTTTAAAATAGTATTTTCCTGTGTTTTCAGTGAAGGTTTGCACAGGTTCCCATTCAACAGTTCCTGCTTAAGTTGTTCAGTGACATTGGTTATGTTATTCACAATGCATGAATATTCTCATTATTTCCATCTAAGTGTTCCACTTCCATTCATCTCGTTTTCCTGCCCCCTTACATTCTCATCTTTGTTTTAAATTAATTGTTGACTATTTTGGGAATTTTATCTCAGTTTTAAAAATTAATGTAATATTGAATTGGCCAATGTTTGGTTCATATATATTTTTACAATTGAAAAAAAAAAAAAAATACGGGCAATGGGCCAGATTTTGCCCACAGACTGTAGCTGACCAATGAACATTAGCTTAAATCTTAAATAAATAAATAAATAAATAAATAAATAAATAAATAAATAATAGGCTTATTATAGATTGTACCAGTTTCTGATCAAAATATCATTCTTTGCTAGGCTAAGTCAAGATCATACTAATTTTTACTGACTGCTCACTGCTTGTGAGGCACTTTATTGTGCAGCTGACAGTACCATCTTTCAACACTCACAACTCCCAGGAATAGTTTTTAAACTCATTTTACAATTCTGCATTCCTGCTGTTTCCTTTAAGGAAAGAGAATTGATAGCCATTTTTAAAAACTTAAAACCTCTTCCTCTCATTTCTTCACAAAAACTTTTGTTTTTTGTGCAACACCTTCACTATCCCTATAAAATCTTCTATCAATATTTTAAATGACCATACTAAGAATAATACTTTGACAGTTTTGGGACAACTTGATCCAGTACATTCTCTCAAGAGTCTTTGTTCCCCCCTACTCAAGGCCTGTTCCTTCAAAGCACCCTCACTTTTCTGCCATTGTAGTCTTAAAAATGGAGGCAAATGAAAGACACTGTATCATTTATGGTTGCTTTTATCCTCATATTATTTTTAAAGCCTGTGATTAACAGTGGTATTAACTCAACTGTTTTCTTTAGTTTAAAGTTTACAGTGGTGAGTGATCCTATGGATGACGAAGAGAATGAATGTCAAGAAGTGGGATATGCATATCTTGACCTGTGGCAGATCCTGGAATCAGGAAGAGACATTGTACAGCAAGAGTTAGACAGTAAGTAACACATGATTTTTCAAAATTGTTTCTTTCTTCCACTTGGCTTTAAGAAAACCATCCTAATAATGAATCTATTTTTTTGTTCTGCCTTCAGTACCTAATTTCTGCTGCAAAGATGAAGAGACACAAATTGGATTGAACTCTTCTTTTTTACTGCTGTATTTATTTCTAGATCAAGCATGAAAGTAGTCATGTATGCTTTAGCATATATACCTAATGAGAATTACGATATATTATGAATAATCGATGTTTGAGATAAGAAATTTTTGTAAGACAAAACCAAAAAAACCCAAAATCATTGCCACTGAGTTGGTCCCGATTCATAAGAGACCCCTCCTTGGGTTTCTGAGGTGGTATCACTATGAAAGTAGATTGCCCAACCTTCCTTCCAAGGAGTGGCTGGTGGGTTTGAACCACCAGCCTTCTGGTTAACAGTCAAATGACTTAGACACTACACCACCAGAGCTCCCACCAAGCCGAAGGGCTACAAATAAAATGGCACAGTGCCAATATTATCGCATAGTATGGCAGGTCTCTAAGTTTAACTCTAAGTCTCTAATTCTAAGTCCATTAACAGTCCCAAGATTGGCAGGAAGCATGGCAGGCTGTTAAATGAAGACTTGGCTACATGCAGGGTTCAAATGTGCCAAAAGCTGCAGACCTTTCTCAATGCTTCTTCTTATATACGGGAAGCAGACCACATCCCTAAAGCAGCTACTCAACTGCTCCAGTAAATTCCACCATGGAGTTGATTACTAGTCTCACCATGGGGAACAACTAACTACATCCAGCTGCCCAGAGACTCAAAACCAGGCCCAGCCAAGCTGACACATAACCTTAACAACCACACTTGCCCAGATTTTTAATGAAACTAGACTTAACAGCAAACTAATAGATGTCACCACTTGTATGTCCCACTGATATCTCAAATTCCCTTGACTATGACTTTGTTCCTTACATTTCCTCTTAGTGAAAGCCACTATCTACCATTTACCTTGTTATCTGAGCCAGAACGACCTATTCCAACCTCTTCCTTACTCCTGATATTCCATCACAAAATTCCATTAACATTACCTCTTCAGTGTTTTGACTCTGTCCCCATCTCCACATCCCTGTTAGATCCTTTTCATTTCTCCCCTGAATTACTTGCCTTACAACTACCCTTCCTGATCTACTTATGCCCCCTTCCAAAATATTCCCAAAGTCGTAATCTTTCTAGAACCCAAATAAAAATGATTACTTCTAACACCTTTAGTTAAACTCTTTAGAAGACAAACAAGGCCCTGTGCAACGTGGCCTCTGCAGTCTGTACAGCTTCATGTTCTCATGTTTTAGCACATGTTCGGAAGGTTTTTTACTGCTCAAGACTTAGCTTGGGGATTGTCTCCAGGGTCTTTTTCTCATTCTTCCATTCTCAGTTAGGTGCTACTTCTTTGTGTTCCCAAAGTACCTTGAGCTTTAATTTATTGTAACATCTAGCACACTATATTGTAATCACTTCATTTTCCTTTCTCCCCTCAGTAAACTAGAAACCACCTACAACAGGGTACAGTAACTTAGTTCATTTCATATTTCTGGCACCTATCATGACAAATACCAGGTATTTAGTGTTTTTTAACTGAATAATGCTGACTCTTTTTTTTTCCTTTCCTAACAGTTGTTAGCCCAGAAGACCAGGCCACCCTAATAGGAATGCTGAAGGTTTCCCTTCAAGCTGCTGCTGCCCTCCATGCTATTTACAACGAGATGACTGAAGATGAAGATTTGTTTCTATGACAGAACAAGTGCCACTCCATTCTAAAATCTGAGGGAACCATAGTAAAAAATCTTGTAAAGTAACTTGCTATATCATGAATTTTGTCTGCTGTGATGTCTAGGATCTCTCTTAACAATGAAAGTTTAAAATTATTCAAGTTATCTTTGTGACACCAACTTGACCAAAGCATTTTTGCAAGGCTTTAGCACTTTACCAGATGAGGAGCAGGCTGGCTTTCAGGAACTACATAAGAACTGTTTCAAAAGGTGAATTTACAAAAACAAAACAATAACAACAGCAACAACAACAAAAAAAAACCCCACAGTTTATTTATCTTTTAGTTCTTCAAAAATTGAAAATATCAAGTCCTACTGCTAAGGAGAAAAAAAAACAAATAAACAAAATCCAAGAGCCCCCCACCCCCCTCTCTTAAAGTCACAGAACACAGAAGGGACTGCAGTGGGACAGGTGGTACAGCGAAACAGGAGGGGGAAGATGGCAAGATAAAACTCTCCAAATACTTAAAAAAAGCTGTTCAACAGAAACTGTGATAAATACAGGACAATGCAAGACAAGTAAAAATAAGGAGCAGCAGTGATGAGAGGCTTTATTGTGGATGCAGCCTCCCTTCCTCTTCTCTTTTCTCATCAGGATATTCTAGGCCCAGGGCATGACTTGCCCCTTTCAGATCTAAATGTTGACTCCTTTGAGCTACCTCTAGATTTCATGAGAAGCAGTGTATGAGGCACAGCATTCTTCCTCAGATAACATGTCAAAAAGAAAGGACACAGTGGTAATTTTGTCTTCTACCATTGCCATGTGTGAATTTGTAGAGGATGAAACCGGGCCAGGGAGTGTCACTGCTTCTTATGTCTTCCAAGGCAGCAGAAGTACCTCAGAATCTGCATGAGGCAAGAAAGCAGGCAAACTCTGATGGAGGCACCAGCTCAATCTGCCTCACTAGCTCAAGTTGTTTGGATTATCACAACCATTAGAGTAAGTTCCAACAGTCTTTTCTGGAGTATTGCAAAGACAGAACTTAGAGATGTGAGGAAGGTCATGGCAGTAGGGTAGGATGAAGGATCAACTCTGCTGGTCAAGAACCATGGTACAGGTAGTTAAGGGTCACCTTGTACCAATGTCTTGGAAATACAGCTTCAAGACACCAATTAATAAGATGCTGGAAGCCATCAATGTCCTGGCAGAAGGTGACAGGAAGAGAGAGGAATGAAACAATATTTATTAATAGCGGAAGCTCCGCCTTTGTTCAAGAACACTTCCTCCCTTGCCATCTGCATGGGGCCATTGGCACGTGTCCTGGTGGGCCTGGAATTCCCCGAGTAGATTGGTCCACACAAATGGCCCCCTAAACCCATAAACACAAACGGCAAAACTTCAAAAGAAAACAAAAGGAAAAATACAGTTTCTATGTCATGTAAAATTTTCAGGGGTTGGCTGAATGGAGCTCAGGGCCAAAGTTCAGAAGTTACTTCCTCTTTTTCTTGGGTGGTGCAGAGCTGTGTCTGGAACCACGGTTAGAGCCACGACCTGAACTGTGCACAGATGCCTTCCTCTTCCGGCTCATACTCCGACTCTGTTCTTCTTCTTCCTCATAACGACTTTCACGGTCAGCTAAATAAAAAGAACAGGCATTATTAGTTAGGAGCCCTGGTAGTGCAGTGCCTAAGGCATCTGACTGCTAACCAGAAGGTTGGTGGTGCAAACCCACCAGCCACTCTCTGGAAGGAAGACTGGCAATTTACTTCTGTAAAGATTTACCACCTCAGGAACCCAATAGGGGCTGCTATGAGTTGGAATCGACTTGGTGGCAATGAGTTTGGTTTGGCTTATAAACCCTAATAGAACTGGACAGCATGAAATGGTGCAGTGTACTCTGTAATCAGTTCTGAGTTTTAATCATTACCCAGGTACTTTCTAGATATGTGGCCTTGAGCAAGTACTTAACCTTTCTGAACCTTAGTTTCTTTCTTTATAAAATGGAGAATTATTTTAGAATTAAACAAGGTACCTCTGCAAAGCACCTTTCACAATCCTTGGGACACAGCAGATAATAAATACTTCTTTTACATCTCTAACTTATATTTGGGGTTTGGTTTCAGAGAATCTAAACTAGCACTATAAAGGTATTTCTAACCTGGAAGAAACCCAAAAGTTAGACAAATATGGGATTTAACCTTGGAAACAGAATTGTCTAACTTTGGAGCCATATATGACTGTGTTGCTATCTCAGTCAGAGCACGCTGGGGGCTTGAGAAGACGAAGAACGCATGTAGTTATGCAGAATCACGCCTACTAGGACAAATTCCAGGACTTGTTATTACTGTTTTTTTTTGTATCTGGTCAATGAAGTAGCTGTGGTTCCAAGGAAGGTTTGTTTTTTTTAAAGTGTGGTAAAAACACACACCAAAAATTTGCCAGCACAACTTCCACATTAACAATTCAAGGACACCAATTACCTTCCTCAAGTTGTCCCACCCTAAACAAAAATTCACCTTCCCCTCTCCCTCTTGATAAGCATTAATAATCTTGGTTTCTATATATTTGCTTATTTCATATAAGTGAGATGATCCAACTGACTCATTATTTTGCTTATTAGTATGTTTTCAAGGCTCATTCATGTTGTGGTATGAACCAGAGTTCACTTTTCTTTACAATATATTCCACTGTACGGCCATATCACATTTTGTTTATCTATTCATCTGTTGATGGCTATTTTGGTGGTTTTCCATCTTTTGCCTATTGTCCCAATCACTTCTTTGGCTGCCTCTTGCTGCTGTGTGCCACTGAGCTGACTGGGACTCATACAGACCCTATGGGACAGAGGAGAACTGCTCCACAGGGTTTCCTAGCTGTGAACTTTACCGAAGCACATCGCCTAGTCTTTCCTCCCACTGAGCCTCTGGTGGGTTCCAACTGCCAACCTTTTGGTTGCCACCAAGCTTACCTATTGCACTATCAGAACTCCTTTAACTTTTTGAAGGCTACTAATATCCCAAAACACTCAAAGTGTTAAAATTTGTACACTAGCCAAAACTAAATAAATGAAATCCTCCCCTCCCCCAAAGAACCACCACAAAACTACCTTTTCGAGCTTCTTCCTCCAGTTCATCCCAATCCTTTCCACTCTCTTCTTCACTGCCCAACGACTCCTTGGAATAGTCTGGAATAAAATTGATGAAATATTAGACATTAGGAATGGAATAGAATAATACAATCTTCCTTTATACAACTGTATTATCCAGAAATGATACTAGGTTAGGAAGCCATGACAAACTTTTTCTTAAAAAAGATTAACCTGATTCTTCTGCTTCAGATGAATAGTCTTCATCACTGTCCTCCTCTTCCTCTTCATAGTCATCTTCTGAGGGGTTAAAAGTCTCATCTTCAATTTCAGACTCTGAATCCCCCTCCTCAGCATCACTCCCCTGGTGAGTAAGAGCATAATACTGTTTACTGATTTTTCTCATACATTCATCTTATTAATGTAATGAATTAATTCAATACACTTAGTAGACCAGCATTATTTCAATTTTACATGAAAAAAACCTGAGTGACAACAAAAGGATGGATCTAAAATGCCTAGTAATTTGCAAATTAAAGATAACAGCACCCTCCTTGCTATTCTCTTCCTAATTCAAATTTCTGAAAGATTCACATCATCCTTCCTTATCCATGGCAATTAACCACAGAAGTAGACTCTTGGTAATAATGCATTGTGCAGAGGTGGCAGGACCATTTCCTAGAAAATAATTTTTGCCAAATTGTCCTGAAGAATCTTTTTCAAATGCTGAGAAACTCGTTTGAGTGGACAGTTTTTGTTATTTCAATGAAATCCTGTCAGTAGATACCAATGTCCAGTCAATTCATCATTTTTCTGTGAAACTAATTTGAAGAAATATAGTCTTATCCTTTACATGGTACTTATATGTCTTTCTCCTGACTGCCCAAACGATGGCAGCCAATACTGTGTACCAGAACAGAAAGCCCGCACTCACGCACCTCACCCTCAGGCTCCAGGAAAGACCAGCCACCTTGCTCGAAGAAGCCCTCAGGGTCATCAACAATGGTCTTCATGATTTTAGTCCAGTTGAGAGACTGTACTCCTTCTGTGTACTTTAGGTCACATGAACTGAAATAAATGATGTTACAAAGTCAGAACCAAGCTTTGATATTTTCTCAAAATTTCCAGTGTCATCTTGCTTGGACATTAGCATCGCAAAGAAGCTTTTTTTTTTTTTTTAATTAACCTTTGCCTAAGTCTAGGTGAGCAAACGTCCTTTGCACTGTGCCAGAGCTTACCCAATCGGCTGACAGTTTCTCTCTGAGAGCACTATCCTTCATGACAGCAGCATTCCAACTGAAGTAAGTCTTTTCCTTCATCTAAGTCAAAGCTCAAAGATCCCTTCCATTTTCTTCCTTATGCACCAATTTCCATATTCACTGGCCTCCCTCCTACCTACTCACGTTTTCATTAATTCCATTCCTTAACTCATCATCATTTCTGTGATCCACACCTCACCCCGGCTATCAGCATTCATACTTTCATAGGGACATTTTCACTAGCCCTAGTTCACCTTCTTCAACCTTCCACTGTTTTCCTTTGTCTTTGTTTATTTGGTGCAAGGTCTGTTTGAAGGTAAGAACTGAATTTATTTTTAGTACATAAAGTGCCCTGTATTTAGAAGATGCTCAAATGATTTTCTGCTATCCACTTTTATTGAGAGCCAGACCTATTACAGTGGGAAAAAAAAAAAAAAAAAAAAAAAAAAAAAAAAAAAAAAAAACAACCAACCAAACAATACTTTGGCTAACAATAATGAAATTTCAGCCTAAAACCTATGTCAGAATCACCGCATCATCCCATAAAGCCACTATCATATATATGGAAACTTCTGCCTCCAGCCATAATGGGGTAATAACAAGGACTAGATTTACTTTTCCACCTTAAACAACTAGAAAACCAAATAAAATATGAAACAATGGTTTTCAAACATTAGCT